CAGCAGCAGCAGACAACCCAACCTAGCAATACAGCGTAGCCATCATACCCGCCAGCCTCCTGCCAGGCTGCTCTGCTGCAGGCTACTACTACTGCTGTAACACAGACGGTTGCTACTGCCATGAGCTAGCACGGAACGGATTGTCAGACACCAAGCAGTGTAGGTTTGTAGCAGCACCTCTCTCTGTGTGATGTTAGCTCTGTGCCTCGGTTTAGGAACCACAGAGCAGCGTGGATGTACCCTCTCCTCGTTGCGTGTACATGGACAGGTACAACCACCCATCACAGACGCACACACAGCATACGGCGTTGTCATCACAGCACTTCCTGCACGTATCTCCCTCTCTCTGTCTCTATCTCTATTTCTGCTCGAATTCACGCTGTGTCTCTCTACTCCACTCGGACTTGCTCGAGATTCGAACTGCTGCTGCTGCTGGGGCACGGCACAACTGCATACCCCGGACTAATAAAAAGCTTCAAACAGGGGGGGCGGGGGGGGGGCAACACTTACGGACATATATGTCGCTTCTTTGTGACCTGGGCTGCGGGAGGTGCGTCCCCGGAAACCAAAACGCCTTTACAACACTTCAGCAGCAGCAAGCAGCAAGCAGCAGCAGCAAGCAACACAGCAGCAGCACGAACACACAAACAGCCAATAGGCACCAGCCTGCTCACCTGCATGGCTATTACTACTTGGTGTCATCCACCACAGACGCTTCCTACGTCACCTCTAGCATGGAACTTGAAGGACCCACGCACTGCCAGCAGCCAACATGGTATAATAGCGTAGCAGCTACATATATTTGTACTACAGCAGCAGCAGCAGCAGCACAGGACTGCTACTACCTGTCCAAATGTCAATCCTCTCCTCCAAGCGTCATAGATAGCCGCACACATAACCTACGGCAAGTGCAGTTGCTGCACGTGCGTCTCGCTCTGTGTGTATGTGTATGGCTCTCTCTCTGTGTGTGTGTCTCTCTCTCTTTCTCCTCGAATTCGTGTCATCATGCTGTGTCATCATGCTGTCGCTCTCGACACGCAGGAATCAAACTGCTGCGGGGGCACGGAAACCAAGCATACCTGCCTTTTACATATTCTTCATTCGTAGGGGGGGGGGGGAATCCAAATTCAAACCGTCTGCCGGACCACTCCACACCCACCCATTATATCAACAACACACCAAACCAGTCTTATGCCTTTTTGCAGTCATTCTACAAGTATGAATATAGCAATATTACTGGCTATTTCTCGGGTCTGAAGCAGAAGCCTGTACCACGGGGGTCCCGGAATAAGGCGGTCTGAATCAAACGCGTTCGCCCTTTCAAACAAGGCGGTGAAATTGGCAAGCATAAACAATATGTTGTCCTGAACATTGAATGAGAGGCCGCCACCCTAGAAGGCGGGCCGTTAACAGCTACCCCATCACCTCCTTCACTCGGGGACACCCACTACCGTGGAAGCAATAACGTCGAACCTCCAAGAGCCGAGCGGGCAACAGCAAGGGATCGAAAGTTAGAGGCTGTTTCGTTCTTCTTGTAGCGAGTCCTTCCTTTTGTTGCTTGCCGCCAGTCGGCAATGAATGACATCTCCCGGGTTCTAATGCACGGTAGGCCTCTGCAGCGGTGCCGAATAACAGGCAGAAACGTCGGTCCCGGTGTAACGCACCTCCGTCAAAAAAAAAACGATCACATTTTCGGCCCTGCTGGTATGTGTGCAAAGCCCGCCATGTGGCGAACAAACGCCCAAAATTTCTACGTCACGTAACGCAAGCTCTCCCTGTAGTGGCAGATGTGCCATCTGGATCTCATCTGCCATGAAAACAGAGGAAACACCCACACGCCTCAATTGGTCCGCGCTTGGCTGTATACACGGCTGAGCTGCAGAAGAAAACACACCTGGCAGACGATGCTCTGTGCGGCCTTGTTGACTGCAAGCTGAGACCCCTTTCCGGCCTTGGCCTTCTTCGCCTCGTTCCGCGCGCGGGCGGTGGCCGACTTCTGGGCGTTCCCTCCTCCCATGGCTGTTTGAGTCCGGTTCACAAGACTGTGACGGGATCGTGGTTGCAGAGAGGCGAGGGTGGCCTTTAGAGAGATCCTCCGGGAGCTCCCTTGCTTACGTAGGCAACCACCTCTCTCTGCACTCTGTAGTAGAGAAATATGGTAGGTTTTGGAACTACATAGCCCAAGATAAGCGATGCGACTAGATTTAGAGGGTAATAGAGAGAAGCCGGAGCTCTCTCTTGATCTGAACAGCGTCAGCGATGGTCTGTAAGCAGCGGGGCCACCGTCATCAAACACGAACACTTGCTGCTGTAGGTAAGGGCCATGTCGTCGACTGCAAATACGCCGCGCTTTGGTGGACCAAAAAGTAAAGCAACACAGAACGAGAGACGCCCACACAAAAATATACCAATGTCAACACCTTTTTCCAGTCTTAGGCTAGCCGTTCGCGCCAGTTAGCTCACCTTGGGGGAGAGAGAGGAGGCAGGTTCAACACGTCCTTGGCAAGAACCTCGGTGCAGCAACCCGACCCACGTGGGGGTTCCGTGTGATCGTGAACAGTGAACAACGTGTATGTACATTCTGAAGTCTTTATGTTGCGAGCTCCCTTTCTTGTGGCCGAGGGGCGTGCAGCAGCAGCAGCACCGTCCAACGCCACCGTCGTGGGACTTGAGCGGCACCACCATGGTTCAGTACAGGTGAGCGATACAATCGCTTGCCCTTCCTTAGTGCTTGCTCTCTTTGCAGTGCAGGATGTGATTGGGGGATGCGATGTGTTGTGGCGAAGGGTAAGATGGAGGGAGGCAAGGGCTAGAAATGCCCTACCCATAAGGGAGGGTTTGTGTGTGTGTGTCGCTGCTAGGCTTTGAGAGCGGCAACCACGAAGCCAACCACCAGCACAACAATTGCCGGTACCTGTGCATGTTCCTCCATGGTTATCCAAGCCTGTATGGTCGCACGATCCTTCAAACACATGCCTTGTCCTAGCAGCACAGCTTGCAGCAGCACCCCTGAAAACACGGAGCGCATTGTTGTGAAGGCGGCAACACCTGTAGTCGCCACACCACACGCGCTCCATCTGCTACTTTCCGTGCTTCCCTCGCCTCAGCCGGGGCGAGGATTCCCCGGCATACAGCTGAGTTCAAATGCCACCCCTTTCCGTCTTTCTTCGTCGTCTTGACACGCTCTCTCTCTCTATCTCTCTCTATCTCTCTCTTTCTCCCCCTTACACGGCCTGCGCGGCGGAATCGGTGGCGACAACTCGCTTGCGATGCAATGATTCGGCGGAGCGTAGCAAGGAGATCGAAGGCACGAAATGTGAGTTCCAAATGAATGTGGAATCCAAAGCTGCATGTCACCTGCTGCTGTGTTGTTTTTCACGTCTTGGCGTGCGTAATGGTCTATATCTGGACGGCGTGATCAGGTCATGCTCCATTTATTTGTTGGTGCCTTTGGTTCGCACCCCTGTTGTACGTACGTAACGTACCACGAAACTATAGGGTATGCAAAAGTGTGCCAGTGCTGTGTTAAGGTTGCCAGTTTCGGCAGTGTGCGGTGTTGGTTGAAAGTCGACAAAACCACCCGAAGGGCGTGTGTATCGGAGGCTGAGAACCCCTGTGTGTCCAGCGAATCCCTCTTCTGTGAGAATTTACCTTCCAAGTTAAATGCATCTGTGCATGTGATCCCTCTTTGTAGGTGGGAAATGGAGAGTCAACATGACTTTGTATGGTAGCCTTGGGGGATGGGGTCATTTGGCGACAACGGAGAGGATAAGTTGTACGCTCGATCAACGATGGTACAACAGGTTCAAGGATCGACTTGGAGATAGAGGAGAGAGGGCATATCTGTGATGTCTTTCTAACGCGCTGGGCCGGGGTACATATCTATCGGCGTATGGATACAATCTGTCTCGTTGCATGTCTTGGTCCACGTCGTCCCATACATGCAGCTGTCTCCAAACTCTGCAGAACTAGTAGTTAAAGAACGTGGCACAGAGCAGTTGTAAGCGTCGTTTTACGCGCAAGCTCGAGCGAGTTTTCCTACACAGTTTCTTGTTCGCCACGTGCAGATGGACCAGAAAGTAGCTCACTTGGCGAAACGTGAAAGATTGCCCCCCACCGC